TTCCTTGGAGCCCTCGCGCTCGCCCTCGGACACCACCTCGGCGCGGCCGAGCACGTCGCCGCTCTCGCTGAGGACGTTGCCCTTCTTGTCGCACATGCGGCCGACCATGCGCTTGACGTCGCCCTCGACAACGCGGCCAAAGATGGTGCCGCTGCCGTCGACCACGTTGCCGGCCTTGTTGACGCGCTTGCCAGCCAGGATCGAACGGTCGACCTCGGCTTCCGGCTCAGGTTCCGGCTCCGGCTCGGGCTCCCAGCGCTCGGCCTTGCCGACGATGTTGCCGGCGCGGTCGAGGATGTCGCCGTCCGGGTCGACCTTCATGCCGCGCAGCTTCTTGACGTCACCCTCGACCACCTTGCCGATCTGCTCGCCCTCGAACACGACCATACCCTTGCCGTCGACCACGGCGTCGGGGAAGGCCTCGAACGGGCCAGACTCCTTGGTCATGGACTCGAGCTCGTCGGCGGGGATGGGCTCGGCGCGCCCCATGATGGAGCCGCTGTCGTTCCAGATGGCGCCGTTCTCGTCGACGCGCTTGCCGACCAGGTGGCCGAGCACGCCCTCCTTGATGCGTCCGACCACCTTGCCGTCGCTGTTGACGACGTTGCCGCCCTTATTGACTTTACCGCCTTTGAGGATGCTGTAGTCGACTCGGTCGGCTGCGTCCTCGGGAGCGGCACCCTCGGCCGCCTCATCGGCCTTCTCGGCCGAGCCTTCCGGCTTGGCTGCCTCTGCGTTTTCAGCAACCTCGCCCGTCTTGGCCTCGGCAGTTTCTTCGAGCTTGTCCTTGTCACCCTCGGGGCTCTCATCAAGCTTATCCTTGCTGTCCTCGACGACACCCACAGGCTTGTCCTTTCCCTCCTCGGCAGTGTCGCCGACTTGGGCCTCCGCCTCTCCCACCTTCTCGTCTCCCTGTTTGGCCGAGACATCTTTCGCCTTCTCCTCGCCCTGCTTGGATGCATCGCCGCCGCCCGCGCCGACAGCAGAGCCGACAGCCGAGCCGATCTTGCTCATGCCCTCCTTGACGGTAGAGCCGGCCATGCTGGCCTCACCATCGCCGGGCTTCTCCCGCTCCTCACCGACCTTGATGGCGGTGTCGGCAGGCTTCTCTTGAGCTTGCTCGACATCCTCTCCAATCGGCTCGGGCTCGACCTCCTGGAGGTCTGGCTGTCCAGTAGCCTCGTCTGATTTGGCCTTATCGTCTACCTTCGTGCCGGACTTGCCTGGCTCTTCGTCCCCGCCCTGCTTCTGCTCAGGCTTGGAGTGCTCGTCATCCTTGGCGCCGACCTTGCTCGGTGGCGCACCGGCATCGGTCTTCTGGTCGCCCTTGGGAGCCTTGATATCGAGGTTGTCGGCTGCCGAGGCCGCCTTGTCCTCTTTGCTGTCGACGGCATCCTCGGGCGACAGCTCCTCCTCGGGCACGTTGAAGTCGTTGGCGGTGTAGTGGTCACCATCCAGCGACTCCTCCGGGATGGCCGACCTGTAATCGCTCTTGGTGACGGATGGCGACGCCTTGGCCCCGTTGGTCATGCACTCTGGGGCGTCTCTCTCCTGAGGCTTGCGCTTGGGATCCACGTCGCGGAAGTAGTGATCCTCGCCCTCGGGGAAGGCGCCCACCGGATGGGGTTTCTCCCAGGGCGACCGTGCCGCCGGTGAGTGTGCCACCTCGGCCATGCTACTGGAGTCTTCTTGTGCTTGTTCTTTGATGTTTTCGTGGTGTCGACGGTGGATGTTGCAGGGGTTGCAGCAACACAGGCACTTTACGGTCTCGGCTGCCAGTGCAAGTGCCCGATGTGATTGAATCTTGAAAGAATATCCAAACTACGGGGAGCTGGTTACAATAGCTCCTCGCTAGATGGAAGGCCGATTGGCTGATTGGAAAATATCGTTAAATGTTTTGGGCAGGAATGGAGATCGTGATGGGTTTGATGGTTGACTGGACAGCCACAGTTGATCGTCGTGCCACAGAGAGTGTGCCGCCTTATATCCCGGTCTGGGGCCGTACATTGGCGGACTGCTTCATGGCGAACGCATGAAACGTATGAAGAACAGAAGAATAGACGTCATCAAGAGGTCTAAGGGGTTACGTCACAGACATAGCTTGGCATGTGGAAGGTATCGCGGCCTGTTTGCTACTCTCGGCTCGCTCGCACCAGCTATTCGCATCCAAGGACGCAGGATGCCCTTCCCACCATCCACTACTCACTGGCTGACGGCTTCTCGTGTTACAGGAAGAATGCCGTGACATGCACTGGAAGACCTCCTTCTGCGCTTGGTGGAAGTATATGACTTCATTACCGCTGGTGCTGTACGTAGCAGCCGTCCATCTTGTAGAGGAGGGTGCACAAGAGGGTGAGTAGTCAGAGTAGTGTCGTCACCGGGTGAGGCTCTCTTGGTGTCCCAGCCCGCTCGCACCAGGCTAAGGAAGCTGGCCGGTACTGCATCCGCGACATTTCTGACAACACCGTCTTAGTCGCCTCCTCTACGCAGCAGTGGCCCGGCTCAGATCGAGGTAGCATGGCTCATTGGGCGATGCTCAACCAGGGATCCATGTGGTGGGTGGCCAGGAAACCGGTTATTCGAGCAGTTGTGGCTTGCGTGTGATGCCACGGGTGTGGCGAATGACCTAAACCAACGACAATCTTGCCACCCCTCCATCCCTTTGCTTCCCCACCAGCCACTAGGAGTTGGAGATGAATTGATGGATGCATGTTGTGTTTCGGATGCTGCAGGCAGCATCCTCTGGTAGACACACGCCCAGGCCGTGGCTCTTCAATTCCCTCCAGTTTGTTGTCCGATCTCCAGTACTGTACATTCACCAGCAGTCAAGCGGCCGAGCTGGGGAAGAGTGCGTGCTTCAGCCAGTTGGAAACGAATGGGTGATCGACAGTGCACCGTGTCGGGCCCGCAGCTACTGCATTGTGCGGTAGATCTCTTTTGGACGGGCTGGACCAACCTCCATCAGCCACTTGCTTCAAACTACCTAAACTAGGTACCAGCAACATCGCTGACGAGCACATCGAGATTTCGCACGCTTTCTTCCTCCCTGCTGCGTCATATAGGGTAGGTACAGCCGTTCCACTCCTTCTCACACACTCCGTCCCGTCATCTCGCCATCAGCC